CTGGATTTTTCTGGTTGTTTACTTAATTGGGTTCTCTTTCCCTTTTATTTCCTGTAAATGTAAAGTTAAGTCTAAAGACGTGACTAGAGCTAGGTTGGATGTTTTGACTGTAAGGCTGTGCCTTTCGGTGTATCACCTAAGAAGGCATGTGATACATGCTTGGTCCATTATTGGTAATAAGAAATGTAATCACTGGGCTGAGGAGGTTAGGTCACTTTAGTTTTTGCATAATCAGTGGTAATTAATTCTATGGAAAAATTTAAAATATACACAGCTACATGGCACAGTATAATGAAATCACTGTATCTGGTTTCACGCTCATTAACTGTACAGTTATTAGCTCTGTGTCTACAACTATTGTTGTTATTTTTTGGTACCAGGGATTGAACTCAGGACCTTGTGCTTGTGAGGTATTTTGCAGTGGCACTGAGCTAAATCCTCAGCCCAGGGTCTACAATTATTAACATGTAGCCAATCTTATTTCATTGGTACCCCTCATTCTTCCCCAATGAAAAATACACACCAATTCCAGGTAATGTGTCCGGTTTTATTGGTACCCCAGGCTGGCCTCAAACTTTCGGCAACACTCCTGCGTCTGCCTCAAGTGCTGGGATTACAGGCATGCACCACCAAGCCCAGCCCAAATCTTACTTCTGAAGGAGCTTGTGATCCTAACTTCTCCACTGGTCCCGAAGTTAGAAGCGAATCAAAACAATTTTTCATAAAAGCTTTTTGAGAATGAAGATAATTACTTGACAGAGTATAATAGAAGTTTATTGTTTCACAGTTCTAGGGCTAGACAAACCAGATGAAGATGTTGGTACACTTGGTTCTTGTGAGGAGGAATCTATTCCAGGCCTCTCCTCTAGCTCTTGGGGGTTTGCTGACAATCTTCAGCCATTCCTTAATTGATAGAAACATTGTCCAGTGTCTGCCTTGATCTTCACGTGTCACTCGCCCATGTTTCCAAAAGTGGATGTCTGGGTGTTTGTTCAGATTTCCCCATTTTTCCTAAGGACAGGCACCAGCCATATTGAATTAGTACTTTAGACGACCTCATCTTAACTAATTACATACACCTGCAATGCTATTTCTAGATCAGATCGCATTTGGAGATACTGGTGATATAGGGCGCCAAGAAATCTAAAAATGATATCCAAATAAGCAAAAATAATCCAAACAAGGGAAATATAACTCCCAGCCTGCTAGATATCTGAAACTCGAGTTCGTGTTCTCTAAAATCAAAGAATGAATTCTAGGAAACAATGGAGGTTAAGAATAGAAAAAATAGGTCTGGGGATTTAGCTCAGTGGTTCTGGCACCTGCCTTGCAAGCTCGAGGTCCCGAGTTCAATCCCCGGTACCAAAAAAGAAAAAAAAAAAAAAGAATAGGAAAAACGTATTGAGAGAAAGATAGCTTCTAAGGGGGACCGGAAAGTGGGTTGGCCACCCACCCCGCTTTTCAAAGGCATTTTATTGAGGAAAGCCATGAGGTAAGGTGGGTACAAGGTGAGACAAAACTATAAGACCCAATGGAAAATTAAAAGGTGGACATAAGATGGGACAAAACCATGACCAACCAATAAGATTACAAGTACAGTCACCCAGATAATATTGTTTTGTTTTGTTTTGGGGGGGTTTTTTTGGTACCAGGATCGAACTCTGGTCCTTGTGCTTATGCAGCAGGCAGCGGAAACCACTGAGCTAAATCCCCAGCAACCCAGATAATATTGATTAAAAGGGGATCAAATGGGAAAACAAGTCATATACAAGGAATTTCTGGAAAGGAAATGGGCTAAGGAGATTGATGTCTATTTAGGATATCAGTCACTGCTATTCATCTCTAGGGGAAGTAGTACCTCTTTTCTTTTCTATTCTGTTTGTTGGTTTGTTAGCGGGATCAACTCAGGACCTTTCACTTGGGAGGCAGGCAGAGGCACCACTGAGCTAAATCCCCAGGCCCAGTACCTCTTTTCTTTCTATAATGCTAACCAGTGAATGTGCCTCAATTGTTTTTCTATGCTCAGGCCCAGCTTTGTCTGACTGCCTTGTAATACTTTCTAACTAACTTAGCTATCTGCAACACTGGGAGTTAGGACTTCGAGAATTTGAGTGGAAGAGACATAATTCAACCTATAATACCAAACTGGTTTTGTTGTTGTTGTTGTTGGGGGTTTTTTGGTACCAGGATCGAACTCGGGACCTTGTGCTTGCGAGGCAGGCTTCGGAACCACTGAGCTAAATCCCAGGCCCAAAACTGTTTTAAATAAATGCTTGATATTTTCATTGACTTCTCAGTTTGCCACTTTGTTTCTCCTTTGAGCTGGTTTATTTCTTTGGAAAAATTCTACCCCATTTGCCATCACCTCTTCTGTAATAATGAGGGTATTTGGGGGATTGGATGCTAAAATTGTCCATGTTTTTTCTTCTAAGGTCTGAAATTGTATTTTGAATTCATGTTAAGATCAGATCGTACGGTAATTGCAGAGAATGAGAGTGTGTGGGGAATGACCGGACATATTGAAGACAAGGGAAGAATTTGTAGCTGTCAACATAAAAACAAAGTTTTGCTCAAAGAAACTTGAATTCTTCTTGGAAAACATGAAATAAAGGGGAATAGTTTGCTTTGAGGCTACAAAGGGGATGAAGGAAAATTTGCAATTTAAATCACTGACTTAAAAAAAGGGTAAATGTCCTAAGGATCTGTTCACAGAAGCTCCCTAGTTGGCTCATCAATGAAACGATCTTACAGTGGTGGTCACGCACAGTGTCGTTTCTGCAGAGATCACGGCTTTATGAACCCACGATTTCATTAATTTTCATGTCCTCATATTCCTTAAGTCTGGGAATCTGCCTTCATTTCAAACAGACCACTCAAAAAGTCTTAGTCTTCAACTGTACTTACGAGGTGAAATTTTGTAGTTTGACTTCTGAAATTCAGTCTTACTACTGTTTGCGTAATACAGCGTTTGGAACAAAGAAACTCACGATTAAAAAGAAAGAAACTCTCGATTGAGGTTATTTATTTATTTTTGGTACAGGGGATCGAACTAGGGACCTTGCGCACTTGAGAGTCAGGCGCCGGAACCACTGAGCTAAATCCCCGGCCCAGGTTAGTTATTTTGATTAAGAACAGAAACTGATTAAATTATTACTGTTTTTGAGAACTGAAACTGCGAATTTGAACATGGACACCAGAAATCCCCCAACGTGGGGCTCCGACTGAGCTAGCCGGGCAGTTGCAAAAACTTTTATTCCTAGATCCTTTAAAAGGGTGAGAACTTTAATTTTCCCCAAACGTAGTGTTGTAGTAAAGAATCTTTTCATAACCTTCTTTGGTAGTTTTTCACCACACCTCAAATTGTATTTCATTTCTGTCATCCTGCACCCAAACTTTTGTTAATAACGTACAAGCGGCCCTCTAGTGGTCAGCATCTCCAAGTTTCCGCAGCGGAGTGCGGCGAGCTGGGAAGGGGTCTAGAACCCCAGAGCAAACTCAACTCTGCCTGCCGCTATCCTAGGGGTCCTGTGATCCTAGGGGTGTCCACGATCCCAGGGATCCCCGCGATCCTAGGGGTCCCACGATCCTTGGGATCTCCGCACGAGCCTACAGGCCCCGCGATCCTAGGGGGTCTGCGATTCTAGGGGTCACGAGCCTGCCCTGCAGCAGAGGCAGGGAATATTCCGGCACCGAACACGGAAGAACACGGAAGCGGCTCTGGCAGCGACTGGAACCCCCGGCCCACGGCCGGCCCACCGGCCTCGCGCCGCACCGCGAACTCCAGGCTTCTCCTCCTGCGCCATGATGGCTCAGATAAACCAGGCCGCGCTGATCACACAGATGATCAAAACCTAAAGGAGTCTCAGAAATTGATCGAAAATACCATATATAGAGTTTGCTCACCACCAAACTGAAAAGTAAAAACATTTGTTTTATAGACTGATCCAGAGCTTCAGTGTGGGAAGGAATCCCGCGTCTGCCCACCAAGACAAAAAAGTAAAAATTGATTCTGCTCTCCAATGGGAACTGCATTTCTCAGTAACAATAGTCCAGTAGCTGAGGAAGGCCTTTACTTGATGGGAAAAAACACATAGGGGGTAGAAAAAGGGAACGAATATCCACAGGACATCATAGCTGGTAGAGGACTGGAGAGTCACTCAGGGTTTGCAGGCCGAGGCAGTGCCATCTTAATTCGGAAATTAATCTTAGTTTTGCTAGAGGTTTTTTACTGATCCTCCACATGCTAATGTGTTTTCCGTAGTGATATGTGATCAATGGTAATTGGCCTCAATTACATATTAAAATCTTAATTATTTATGAAGATTATGGTATTAATTTTGGCCCCAAAATGTTTATTCAGATCCATCAGTCTTTAGATACCAGCTGGAGTCTACAGGAGCTACAGGAGATAGAGGCAGAAGATGAGACTTAGGGTAGGGAGCAATGATACAATCAGAAGGCTGGAAATTCCGAAGGACACTGGGCCTAGGGCCTTCCACAGGCATTATATCATTTTTTTTTTTTTTTTGTACCAGGGATGGAACTCAGAACCTTGAGCTTAGGAAACAGGCAGTGGCACCAATGAGCTAAATCCCTGGCAAGGTGTTATATCTTTAAAAGTAATTTCTAGATTAAGAGACCCAAGGACCATAATCAGACAAAATACTTCTGTATATGATGGTATTCTGGACAAATAAGTTATAAAGAGATGTGGGGGACAACTGGGGAAATTTGACTATTGTATGAATTTATTAGATGAGATGATGATTTACTGTACTGGAAGAGTGGAGATGTTTGACTGGAAAAGCAGGCTGCAAAAGAAAATGTAAGCTAGGGCCAGGGATTTAGCTCAGTGGTTTCACCACATTTAAATTCTGGAGAGATGTAATATTATGTGAACAGAGAAGTGTTAACAAACACAGCTGTATTTTAATTAAAATACTTTATTAACTTTTAAAAATATACACAAGGGGAAGAAAAATGACTAAGTGGTAGCATTCTTTTTCAAACTAAAATTGCAATTAATATTCAGATCTCTGAGCTTAAAATTCTATAAACAATTTAGAGGCGGTAGATTTTAATATTTCATATGCCACTGCTTATCTCTTATGTCTTTTTTAAAAAACACAGTGGAACCTGCAATATGCAAGGTTGTGTGAGGCCCTGTTACACTATGAGAAACTATTGCTGGGCTGGAAGTGCTTTGTTACAGACAAGATTCCTAGGATTACATTTGAGATGCCAGAGAATCAAAGGGAAAGAACACTAATCAATATTAATATTTCAAATTTAGGTAACATTGTTGTAAACCCCCTCAAGTTGCTTAATCTCTTCCCTTTAAATCCTTCAGTAACATTCATAAGGTTTGTGTAAGTTCCCTCTTAAATAGAAGGACTTGAAATGGGGCATCTATAGCCAGGTTAACATGTAGGGTAGACTTTAAAAGAAACTTTCATATCACTTTGCTGCTATTGGGGTCCAATTCCTTTTTTTTTTTTTCCCAATTCCTTTTTATAACATGTGAATTAACACTGCTCTTAATAATCTTCCTTTACCAAATCTAGAGAAAAGAAATTTAGGTGATCAAAGCAGATAGTGCACAGCTCTCAAAGAACTATTTAAAAACACAAGGGAAATTCTGTGGCAATACAAAGCATCCCAAAAATCTTAGTGTAATTTTAAGCTTTGAAACCTGTATAAGTACAGAAGCTATAATGTTATATCACCTGAAAGTTTTAATTTTTAAAATGCAGAACATTAAGCTTTTAATTGCAATTTTTGTCCCAGTTCCTCTTTCTTCTACTCCCTCTAAGAGACACTAGGAAAAAAAAATAAGAATAAAAGCTCAATATTCCAAATTTGCAAGATTGAAATTTTCCAATGATGTTTTAGAAAAGTTTGCAGCTTTTGCTGCAGTGCCCTGGGAGGCAGCAGCACAGTAGAGTAAGGCTTAAAACTACACTGAAACTTTTGGGACACCTTGTATTTTACTATCTGTTGGTTACCACTAGACCACCCTGTTGGTTTGTGTTGTGAAAATGTCTTCTATTATGTTTATTTAGCAACAGGAAAATCATCGGAAAATGTGAAGGACCATGAAGAGTTCACAAGATGCAGCATGGACCCAATAGAAGTAGACAGTCCATAACTGAGGCTTTCTCTTTATGACCACAAACATGCCCCAATGGTATTAAGTAGTGCTTGCAAAGAACATGAGTGGCAAGTGTTCTGCAGCAGCTTTTCTGTGTAAACTGATTGACAATAATGACTAGCAACTCAATGACACCACAGGAAGGAAGAACCTTCAATACCTGACAGAGTGACAGTCTACTCCTCAGGGGCTTCATAAGTATGAACATGCCCATGTGTGGGCCTGGGTGGATGGCTCAGTGGTAAACACCCTGCCAGGTTATGGTTAAGATTCTGGGTTTTATTTTTTAGCACCATGCAATAAAAAAGATCCCCATATTTTAATGGTAATACTGCAACAATCCTAAAGGCATATGTAGCAATATGGGGGCAGAACAATTATATGGGTACTATTTTTAAATCTATTTTTTAAAAATTAATTAAAACTTTAAAGTAGTTTAAATTGAAACTCTTAATTCAAAAACCTTGCAAATGCATCTGTGTCAGTCTGGAGCTTCTGCTTTGCAGTGCTTGCAACTGCTCACATCAATGAAGACAGGAAGTGTGTTGGTGCTTTGACAAGGCCTCTTTCTTTCCCATGCAGTCCAACTGTCACTGTCCAGGAGTTTCTTGAATTCAAGGTCTTTCCTTTTGGTGAAAATATTAACTTTGCTGGGTTTTTTTGTGTGTTTGTTTGTTTTGCAAGAGAGGTGGTATTTCTCCAGTTTTTGAAAATAAGGGGTTCATGATGTCTTAGGTCCCATTTCTCCCTTTTAAGACAGAATGATATTAGACAAAAAAAACCAACAAAGTTGCCATCACTGGATGATCTTCTCACAGCTCCTGTGCACAAATATTTATCTTCACACAATCCTGACATGGCCTAGGAAAGTCAAACAGAAAACAAGTAGAATTATTTCAAAGATTGCGGCCCTAAAGAAAAATAAGTCTCAGGTCTGATGTTCAGTCATGCTGCAGATTTATTTAAATACTACATGGTCAGTGCTGCTTGGGCTGGTCGAGACTTGCAGTGCCACGTTGGCAAGTGCTACTTCCTACCAATTCACTAACATCCTTCAAGGAGGAAGATTAGATTACTAGGACAGGGGAACTTTGTTAAAGTACAGTCTTTAAAAACTGAGTTTGTAAAGATGTCAAAGGCTTTGTGATACAGGCTCATAACAGCAACATCTGTTAACTTTGCAACTGTTCATTAAAATGATAAACTTTAACCCGTGCAAAATAATCAGGAAACACTGGCTCCCAGGTCTACCCAATCTTCATTAGCTATTATGTTCCGGAATCACAAAAAGAAATGTATGGAGACACAGAAGTTGGGTAAAAAAACAAAGCCTTCACTTGCTAGCAAGACGGAACTGCCAGAAACTCATCTGATCAATGTCCACCCCATCCTTTGTTTTAACATTTCCTTTTATATCTCCTTTTAGCCATTACCTCATTCCTGGTGGTCTTAATAAAATTTCTGTTTCTCTTTTACAACTAGTTCCTGTTAGTGGTTATAGTCACAGACATATAACAAACAGATGACGCTTAAAACACATACATTGTAAACTACCCAAACATTTCTACTTTGCTTTTCTCCACGTTAAATGTTATCTACAGCTAGGTTATAGGTCAAAGACTCAGTTAGCCATCACCTTAAATGATAAGAGTTACGGGAAAGGTAAATCTCAAAGGAATGTATTACTTATTCTACTTCAGCTATCTTAACAACTAACCTATAGTTTACATTTTCTCTGTCAATTAAAGACTCTAAGAAACTTCTGTGCAGGGAGGTATGTACTGCCCTACTGTAGGGCAGGACAGTTCTAATGACTGAAGCATTAAAAGGTGCTCTGTCAAATGCATATGGGTTAAGGGAGAAAAACACCTTATTCCAAAATGCCAACCAAGGCACCACAGAAAGTGCCATTTGAATGTATGCATCCATTTTTGGTGTGAATTATTTTAGCGTATACTCACCAAAACTCACAAGCCATGTATATTATTTTTCCCCATGTCAGCTACCACTTCCATTGAAAGCCTACGTTTTTCCAACCTCCAGTATTTGAACACACATCACATATCACACATGGTAAGTGTAGGTCTCTCACATTAGCCCCTAAGGTTGGGTTTGAACTGCGATAGCTGAACTGACATGAATTTGCAAATGGAGTAAAAATCAGGCACAAATAGTTAAGTGAACATTGTATTTGTCAATAAGGGCCACAAACTGAAAAATTTAATCATGTATGGCTATGGAGAAAGGTAGAGTTCCAAAAGGATAACCATTATGAATAGATTAATTCTGATTAAAAATATTCTGGATTTTGGTCAAAGAAGAGATAATATCTACTTTTTAAGATTAATGTGGTCTCTATATGAACCATGAAAGAACTGAGAAATAAGAATGACAGGAAAGGGTTAGTAAGCTCTTTCCCTAGTCACTGCTTAATATGATATAGTCAAGAAGGTGGCTTTGGTGGCTCACAGAAATCCCGACTTAGCAAATGCACAGTCTTACCTCTAGGGCTTGTGGTCTTTCTTTGGTCAGAGGCACAGGCACGTAACACAAGCCGGTGTCATATGCTAAAGAACGAAGGTCAAAGTAGTATTTGGCATAAACACTGACAGGCACTTTAACATTAAACTTAAGCAGGTCCAAGTAATGCCTTTCCAACTCATTTCTGGGAAGGAAGAACATAGCAAAACAAATACAGGACAATTTTAGTCAAGTGAACTATCTTCAAAAATGTCATTTTGAGCTTCTAGGACTGTTGTAAATTCTGTTTTGAGACCTAGGAAAGCTACCCAATTGGAAGAAAATACTCATGTTCCAACAAGCCACAGCTATTTTCGGTCCTTTCTGTATCCCAGCACTTTTGTGTTAGGGTGAAGGGGAAAGGTTATGGCCTGTTCACTCCCATCTGCTGCTGGCTCCAGCCCATTCTTCAGAGTCCATCAATGCGTCTGTGTGACTCACACTCCACACACTCACAAGGCCATACCACAGTGGGAGACCAAAGTGATGTATGCTCTTTGTTAGCTCTGAAGAACTTGTAGACATTGTCAATGGGCTCATAAGAGGAAGGGCCTAGAGAAGCAGAGAGGCACCAGCAAAAGAACCACCACTCTTCTCTTTGAGGGAAAAGCTCTTCACACAAAAAGCAATCAGCAGCAGCTGAGGATTTAGCTCAGTGGTTCTGCCACCTGTCTCGCAAGCGCAAGGTCCCAAGTATGATCCCCAGTACAAAAAAAAAGCAATCATCATAAACAAAGAAAAAAACCAAACTGCACTGTATAGGGAAGGGAAATCAGTACCCTTGTCCTAGAATATAAGGCTATGTCAAAGGGTATGTCACCTTATTATTACTCGGGTGACAAACTGTGACTCTGACAATCAAGATACTCATTTTTAAACTTCAGAAGGAAGAAACATCAAAGGAAGCAGTCTCGGCTAGACTAAATCCACTTTAGCACATGATTTCTGGCAGAGCACAGGACTCACAGTCTCATTTGTGTGTTGGGAAACCCAAGATGATCAGCACCTGCTGCCCCTCACCTGAAGAGAATGTACATGCGAGTGTGTGAGCACATGCCTAAACACACACACACACACACACACACACACACACACACACAGTGGAAAGAGAAATGACTGGGAGCAGTCCTCTGCTGTGTGACTACACAGCTGCTTGTCCGCACACAATACACAGAATACGAGAGCCCATCATACCAATTTCTACATACATGCAGCACTCTTAGTCAGGAGGAGGCAGGCATGGGGATCTGGAACCTTTCCTGTTGTATGTTCTTGTTTATTCTATGAACACATGTTCAGATGAAACTCTGACAATGTGTGTCTCAGGCTGAAGCTGTACTGCATAGTCCACTGGCCCTAAGACCTTAACACTGGCCAATCATTTCTTTCAAAAGCCAGACACAACACCCCTGAAAAGGGACTGGACCTCACAGCTTTTAAAAAGCCATAAAGACATGCACTGTATTCTGCTGTTCAGGTGGTAAGCTTGTAAGATATTTGGCAAAAACCACGAGAAAACACTTCTATTTACCAAGCATATCATTACAATCATATCCCATTAAAACCTAACAATTAATGATGGAAAATATGAATTCCTATTCTATACATGAGCAGAAAGTAACAGCTTTGTGACTATTTCCATTTTCTATATAATGTAATATTTAAAATTATTTCTTAAATTGCATTCCTTATGGAAGCAAATGAACTGGAAAATGGTTAGAAAATTCACCAAACCCTTTCAAACCCACATGTCCTCAAGTGTAACATCCTTGAAGATCCGGCAGAACTCCACATTCCACAGAGTCTCATCATCCCAATCCTTGCAGGTAAGAAGAATGGCTCCCAGGACGATCCTCCTCCAGTTAGTGGGACAGATGTCAATCTCAGCATACGACAAAAGCCTTTCTAAGAAGACCTGAAAAGAGGAGAACACTGTTCTGTGATTTCAGTCCTGAGTAAGTGTTGTGCTAAGAACTGTTGGGAGTGATGGGTTTCTTCTGTGTCTGAACAGAGAGGAAGTGCCTCTTACTTTTGTGTGCTATAGAGATTTTGCTCAGCTAAACAAGAGGTCAGGTTACAGTTGGAAATCAGACTCCTCTGCTGCCCATGTACATTTCCTGTCCAATTCTGGTGACCGGAATGACTGCACATCTCAGCCAAGGTCAAACAGTAGAGTGGAACTGTTATTACCTTCACACTCATGAAGGGCACAGACACAGGCCTGGTAAAGTTGTTCAATAAGTACTGAGTGCCTCCCACATGCAATGTAGCATACCCAGCTGGTAGGTTTAGAATGGTTTTAGAGAAGTCATGGTCAAATGTAATGCCCAACTAAGTGAGCACACTTTTATCCTCACCTTTTTACAGTATTTACGCTTTTGTGGCACTAACTGGTGAACAGGACCGTCCCCCAGTGGCTCCTGAGCAGAGCAGCAAGACAGGCACAGGACTTTCATAACTGCCGAGTTTTCCCCAAACTCAATGTGCTTATAAAGAACCCACGTGTACAACAGGGCAATCCTCAGTGCCCTTGTTTTCCTCGTCTCCACTGTTCATGAAAATCCAATTTCCTTCCTATATAATCTTTAACTTAGTCATTTTTATTGGTTTTAGGGTGGGAAACATAGGGCTGCCCGTCTGTATCCTTGGGAGTCCTAAACTTCCAGGCAGTTCATGAGACAACCTCAGGTACTCTTTACATACATCAAAAATCTATTCTACACAGAACTGGGTGGGCTACCAGCTGAGTAAGCTTAAAGAGGAAGCTGTGATTAGCTGTTACTTAAAGCTGAGTGATACAAAAACTTGTAGATGCTCAAGTTCCTAATATAAAATGGCTTAGTGTTTGCATATCACCTATGCATATTCTCCCATATACTGGAAAGCATTTCTAAATTGCTTACAATGCAAAATTCAATGTAATTCAAACACCAGGTAAAGGCAGTTATACTATATTGTTGAGTATTAAGAACAACAGAAGGACATGATTTTTTTCCCCAAGTGATAAAAATTTTAGATGCAGAGCTCACAGACATAGGAGGGCAGATTGTATATGCTTCAACTCTCTGTATCAAATAAAAAAGAAAAAAGCCCACTTTTAAGAGCATGGTTACAGTATGAAAGTTGACAGACCAGCAGTTCAAATCTGGCAATGTTCTCCAACTCAGCTGTATTCACTCCCCCAAACCTGCTCCCTCAAGTCACCTAAGAGCTTCTGTCCCAGGATACAAGTCTTTTTTGCACAGAAAAGATTAGAGCGAAGTGCCCCAGCACCAGTAAGCCCTCGCCCTATGTTCAGCTTTGGCATAGCCTTGTCTTGGGCTGGCACACATTTGCACTGCTTGCCCTGCTGTGTGAGCAGACGACAGTTCTTTGCTTTCCAACACCATCAGTACCTGTGAAGAGTCTTGCCCCCTTTTCACTGAATACTTTCCATGCATTTTAACAGCTACCCTTACTTCTTTATTTCTGACTCAGGTTCTTGTTATGGTCCCACACATCCAAATGATTAGAAGACAGGCCACTGTTATCTCAAGGAACATCAAACTTACCTTGCCTACAAGGAACTCCCCCTTCCAACCTAGCTCTTCTTTCTGCACCATCTACCTCTACATATGGAAATGTTCCTGAGGGGTTTCTATGGAGCACAGGCCACAAGCCCCCACTCCAGACTCTAGACTAGATGCCATAGGAACCTCTACTGTTCTAAGTGCTCTTGCACTGCAGGCCATGTGGATGACTTCCTGCTGTGCATTTGCAGGAGGAAAGACTAGAACAATCTCATCCACTTGAACAACTTTTATTATAAATGATAAAATCTCACCTTCAGAATTCTGTATGGATAACACAAACTGAGGACACAGCTACAGCTTAGCAGGCTAACAAAAGATTTTCTAAGAACTGCTGGTGCTGTCATCCTGGGGAGTATCACGAGCAGACACCAGTGGTCAGCAGGGATAGGCTGACACCTGTAAGCCAAGGGACAGAGAACAGAAGGCAATGAACTGTCCAGGGAACACAGCCTGAGACCTGGCTTGACCTGCACAGTATCAGTCTCTGAGGTTCACTTGGCCTTTTTACTGTCTCCTTCCCACCCCACACTACGTGTAAGGGTTCACGGTGTTAAGTGCCTGTGTGTGTGTGTGTGTGTGTGTGTGCGTGCTCTCTAATTACCTTTAATTGCAGTTGTTTTGTGATGAGAAAAGGAAAGGCAAAATTTTAGAAGATTAGAGGACCCAAATATGTTTATTTACTCTCCTCTGATAGGCTTCTCTTCATAAAGTTCTTATGGTAACTTCAGGAATCTTCTTTCATTTGAAAAAAGACCTTTCTCTGTGTACAAGACCAATTTTTAAGCATGCTTGATAAATAAGAAACATCTTACCAAGGTTATTATTGCACCTTCAGTTGGTAACGATGTGGCATTAAAAATATTAGCAATAAATCTGTAAATACGCAAGCATGTAGGATCATGCTCAAAGTATTCCTCTGGATGCTCTTCTCTCTGAAAAGAGCAATGAGGCAATGTAAGTATCCACTTAAGAAAGCTTTTAAGTACTCTGAAGACAGCAGTCTCCACCTATGCCCACATGTTCCTTAAAAGAATTTCAATTGGGCTGTATGTCTTTTAGTCTTGAACTAGAAACACGTATATTTTACTAAGCATCACGACACTTTGGTCAGTGTACAACATGTAAAACATGTACAGCAGTGGGCCCATAAGCTACCACCTAGTGCACCACAGCCATCTTCATTATGTAAGTGGACTCTCTGAGGCTTGCACAAGGAAGGAATCGCTATCAATGCATCTCTCAGAATGTATTCCCTTGGTAAACAACATCGAAGGCCAGAAGCTCAGAAAGTCGACATTGCTTTCCACTTCACCTCCACAGAATTCTCAAATTCAGTTTTAGGCTGAAAGTCTTCTTGATCATATGCTATATTTCTCTGTAATAAAATCTACATAAATAAACATAATTAGTGTCCTGCAACCACAGCCTCTACAGATGTAGTTGCAAAGAACTTCAGCTGTTTAGGGGTTTATTTACTCATTTATCCAGTTAGATGCTACTGAAAATTATTGTTTGAAAAGCTACATTTTCTGATATTTGAATAGTACACTTATTCATTTTAGCTCAATATGAAAGGTACAAATCAATTCTTACTCTACCAGAGCCCTGAAAAGCCCTCCTTTTCTGAGAAGATTTGTTACAACAAGACGAGCAAGTACATGACTTAAATTCAAACAGATGGGAATGATTTACTTCTGGCAATGAATGTCAAAGGAAAATAGCATGAAAGAAACACAATCCTGTGAGAAAAAAAAGATAAACTCAAAAAAAGTGACACTTGCTGTGAGTGGATGCAATTGCTCATCAAAAATATCCAGGCATCTGTTTGCATCTCTGTAAAAGAAGAAAGAGCATCTAAGTGCAATCGTTTATATCTTAGTAAAACATCTGCTAGGGGTAGAGGAGGGTGGAGGGAGAGGCCTAGCCTTCAACACACCAAGAACTTTCCCAAATTCTTCTCGATTTTGGCCTTAAGACTTTTTTTTTTGGTACCGGGACCTTTTGGTACTCAGGACCTTGTGCTTGGGAGGGAGGCACCGGAACCACTGAGCTAAATCCCCGGCCCTTAAGAGTTCTTTTTACACAGTGCATCAAGTATTCCGAAGCCTTTTCTATGAGGACCAGCTAAAGGTGCCTTTTAGTAATGACTTTTCCCAGCAGGCAATGGTAGTAAACCAACAGTGGTGGGGAATCAAGTCTATAAATCTAACAAATGTGAGATTCAGATTTCTCAGTTTTTTTCCTGTCTTCAGTACTCTGTATCTTCATCACATATTTCTTGTTCCTGTTCATTGAGTTTAAAATGTAGCTGCATTTCTATAAGTTAACAGTCTTTTCATTAAACTAACAAATTCTGCTTCCTTAATGCAGTGGTTCTCTGTGGTCTCTGGAGATTTCCCAGGCTCCTTTTCAGGAGGGTCAGAGATCAAACTGTTCTTACATAAACATGAGGACATTACTTGCGTTTTCACTTTGGACACTTGTAATGCTTGTATATTAGTTAAACCACTGAATTCTCAGCATGTGTCAAGCCTGTAGTACTAAATTATACGAGCAGCCATTGCCACAACCTGAATAGTATAGAGTCCAAAGCCAGGGAGACCAGTGGGCGATGAAGAAAAGTGAAAACACCACAGTTATGCTTGAAAGCTGGGACCAGGTGGAGCCATAGCCTGTCAGGAGCTAATGGCTGCCTGGAGTCCAGTATCCTCTTTATTTATAGTGTAAGACAAATAGGAAGAGAAGACGGGGTAACTAGTGCTACATGGCCTAGGCTGAACGTAGTGTGATTGTCTCATGATCAGGGAATGCACAGAAAGGGAATAAGGAAGGATACATAATGCAACTGTCTCTTGGGGCCGTGCCAATCCAGGATCTACACTCTTAGTCAAACAGACAGACTATCCAGTCTTTGGAGGACAAAGGGAGTAAGGAGGCGAAGGACCATCTTCAGGTTTGGCCCATGGCAAGTCATTGTATTTTTCTTTTTCTTTTTTTGGTACTGGAGATTGAACTCGGGACCTAGAGCTTGTGAGGCAGGTGGTGGAATCACTGAGCTAAAATCCCTGGCCCCAGTCATTGTGTTTTTAACTGTTGCTTGCAGTTGCTTTAAGAAGCCTCTTTATCTTATGATTGCCCTTGATGAAGCAGTAAACACAAATGTTAATAGATCATGGGGCTTTTAAAAAAATATCATGAATAAATGAAAAGTCCACATAAAGCATTTTTTCATTGTGAGGTATGGGAGTGTTCAGAAAAAACACTTGTGATTGAGTTGTGAGCTGAACAGGCTGCTTATCATAGAACAACACTTTTATATGAAACTAGAAATATCAAAAACAAGCAAAGTGAGCCTGTCCCTACAAGGACAATGGACAAGTATTTGTTGCCAATGACAAAATTCAAGCTATGGAGCTAAAAATCAAGATTTTGGAAAAAGTGTACCTTCTGCTGTGCATGTGACAGCTTCTCAGTACTTGAAGAGTTTTTGGTAAGACTGGTGATGATACTAACAAAAGTGTTTTGGATGTTATAAAGAAATGTGAGCCAGTATTTTCCAAGCTGACAAATGCATATTATAAATCCTGTACTCATCTTATTCATCATATTATGCGCACCAAATGTGTATAAATGTTAGTTTCCAAGATGCCAAATGTAAAATCCCACTGTACCCCATTGAAGACACTAATGCTTGTCGTGTTTAATGTAATGTTAAAGACTATCCACAATTGCCGGGGATTTACCTCAGTGGTTCCGCCACTTGCCTCGCAGGTACAAGGTCCTGAGTTTGATCCCTGGTACCAAAAGAAAAGACTATCCACAATCATCTGAGCTTTTTAAAGATACACTTATGTCCAACTATATATCTCCATGAGATTATGTTGTCCTCATACTGGTTCCTCAAAAGTAACTGCAAATGAACCGAGAAATATGAGAACCTAGTTGTGTTCTTTCCAGTCAAATGAAGAGATGTGGATATGTGTAAACAGTGAAAAAAGGAACAAAACTGGAAAAGAGTTATAGAAGATAGTTATTTTTTGGTATTTATATTAACAAGTTGTTCCATAACCAGGAGTGACTTTGTCCGACAGTGGACATTTTTGTTTGTCACAGCCCAGGGGTGAAAGCTCCTGGCATCTACTAGGCAAAAGACAAGGATCCTGTACCTCATAAGACAGCCCCCACAGCAAAGAATTATCTAGCTCAGAGTATCAATAGGCCCAATATTGAGAAACCTTGAATACCGCCCCCATATCTGCACACACAAACACATACACATTTAACTCTCAAATTTAATTTCTAAAATAGTTAATATCAATGTAATCTATAGAAGCAATTCTTCTCTGGGATCTTAAAGACCCCAAATAATATTTTTAAACTATCCTAATTGCAACAACAAAAAATCTGAAATGATTTGCTTTCATGTGTCACTAAAAGCACACTTCGACTTATAATGTCTTCAATCATGACCTAATTCTATATCTATTTGATATTGTGCAGATTAACAGGAATAGTAAGACAGGTTTTTAAGAGCTCACCTGTTCTTTATGAGATTATATACTGCTATGCTCACACTGTGGAAGGAAAAGCAATATTTGTAATGACTGAGTTTACCATTTGTTGAAACTGAAGACCAATTTTCAAGGGAGGACCTCCCACAACCTTGAAGTCCTCCACTTTCAGAACAGTACCAGATGTGCACTTTCCCTTGTTTTAGTTTTTCAGCTTTTAGTGAATATGGAATCCAAATGCTAGGCATTGTGCTGTTAGAACACCTTTCTCCTGATTATACGTTATTACATATCTTCCCATCATTTGGGTTTCTACCCATATAACCCCAAACCCTAGGAAGAAAGTAAACCATACAATGTAAACCATTATGTAAATGGAAACCATATAATATTTTTTATTTTTA